ACTCCACCGGTGTCGACGCTACCTGTCCCTCACCTGTAGACGACGACGCGGACGAGGACGACGAGGACGACGACGCCGAGGGCCTGGTCAGCTGGCCGGGAGCGGTCTGGACGGACCGCAGCGGCGCGCGGCCGTCTGCGCCCGGGGCGGCCTCCACCGCCCGCTCCTTCTCCTCGCGCCTGTTCCTGTGGAGGGGAAGCTCGCGCTCCTCCTCCTCCTCCTCCTCCTCCTCCTCCTCCTCCTCCTCCTCCACTGCCTCAACTCCTCCTCCTCCTCCTCCTCCTCCTCCTCCTCCTCCTCCTCCTCCTCCTCCTCCTCCTCCTCCTCTTGCGTCTCCTCCAACTCCGCCTCCACCTGCTCCTCTTCGCCCCCTCCCTCCTCCACCTGCTCACACTCATCCTCCCCATCCTCCTGCTCTTCGTCGTCGGTCTCCTCTTCGGCTGGTAGTCTCAGCCCTCAGCCCCTCCTACCACCCTTCGTCCCGCTGCTCCTCTTGCTCCTTTGCTCCTCTTCCAGCCTCCGTTTCAAGAAGCATTTTAAAGCACTTCGAGAAACTCATGACGAGCCTCTTTTGGAAACACCGGAAACAACCATAGGCACCGAACACATGCCAGCGTCGTTTCGTCCTCCTGTCTGCTTTCTGCTACGTCTCTTGCTCCTCGAGGTACATCCGATTCAAGCGCAATAATCGTAGGATGTTCAACCGCACATCCGGTCTCGTCAGGATCCGAGTTGTGGGTGGGCTGTGCTGGAGCACAGGCGACGCTATTTGCTGCACGTGCGGAAGGGAAGGAGCAGAGGAAGAGGAGACCACGCGCGGCCAAGGAGACCTCAGAGCGTGAAGATACTCGGGATGTGCAGGAGCAGGCTCGACGTAGAACTGGAAATGCGGCCGAAGGATGACATGGACGTTGTCAGAGAGTGAGTGACGACCCGCTGCGCACTAAGGCACTGACCATCCCGGGTGGCTTGAGCGGCTGCGTCGCAGCCAGCCCTCCGGGCGGCGCGCAAGCAGGCAGGCAGTCGAGATCCATCGACGGGAGGGAATCCTGATGGAGCAGCCGCTAGCAATCGAGGAGTACATCTCATGAGTGCTCTGCTGCTGCCAGAAAAGGCGAAACAAAACCGACAAGCCGCGGCTGCGCAGTACGTGACGATGGAGGGGAGCCCTGCTGTTCCCCACGAGCAGAGGTGGCAGCACCGACTGCCGCCTGAAGCTGAACGTGGGTCCACCACTCCTGGGCAGCCGCCCGTCAGTGACGGAGAAACGGGTGGTGATGAGGAGGAAGCGAATCATGATTATGAGCAGGAGAAAAACTATGAGGGAACGAAACAGGATGAGGAAACATATCGATCCAGCACAATCTACGCTTTGACTTTCCTTATGCTGATGATGATGAGGAGGCTGGGGGGGGATGGATGGGGACATACATTTGAGCTGCGCCTGCGCTGTGGACGTCTCACCCCATGTGGCTCCTCTGCCACGTCTTCCGCCGCCTCTTCTTCTCCCCGGGCTCGCAGAGGTGGCAGAACGTGCACCTCTCCGCATCCTCCTCCGTCCCTCTTCCTCCTCCTCCTCAATTTCCTCTTCCTCATCCTCCCCACCACCACCACCACCACCACCACCACCACCACCACCATCATCATCATCATCATCATCATCATCATCATCATCATCATCATCATCATCATCATCATCATCATCATCATCATCATCATCAGCATCAGCATCATCATCATCATCATCATCATCATCATCATCATCATCATCATCGTCATCATCATCATCGTCATCATCATCAGCATCATCATCATCATCATCATCATCCCCATCATCGTCACTATCATCATCACATTCCTCCCTCCTTCTCCTCCATCCTCATCTTCCTCCTCCATACTTATCCCTCGTGATCCCGACTTCCTCTCGCCTCCCTCTTTCGTCCTCCCTCCCTCCTCCCTCTTCTTTCCTCCTCCTTCGTCCCACCTACCTGTTCCATCCTCCATCCTGCTGCTCCTCCGCCTCCTCCTCCTCCTTCTCCAGCTCCTCCTTTGTTTACTCCTGCGCCTATCCCGATATGCCCCTATTTGACCCCCCAGAGCCCATGACAACAAGATCGCAAAACATGCTTCTCCCCTTATCGTCCTCCTACCTCCTTTTCAATCTGTTCCTCCGTTGCCCCCCCCCCTGGTCGCGCCCTCTCCTCCTTCTGAATGTGCATCCCGTTCTTCTCTTTAACCATTATCCTCCTTCCCGTTTCCTCCTCCTCCTCCTCCTCCTCCTCATGATTCAGCTTCCCACAGGAACCGAGCTACTAGACCCTAGAACCACATACATGTTTGCAAGATTGTCTCCTCCTCTTCCTGAGCCTCCTCCTCCTCCTCCTCCTCCTCCTCCATGGATTCGGACTTGGACGACGGCTCAAAATCGATCAAGACTAACTACCCGGCGATGAGACTAAACGTGCAAACCGAATCTACCCACGAACTTTCGTACAAACGCCGAGCATTCTGCCAGCGCGGCGGCCTCAGACCGAAACGAGTCGATCCAGGAACTGTGGAATGCGCCTCCCATTGCTAAGGGCTGCTTCTCTCCCCCGCACGAGATTACCTCGACGATCCAAGCCGACGCAGCGCATGCCCTGCCTCGTGCCCCGCAGTCGGAGTGAATGATCAAGCTGCGTTCTCGTGAAGATATGTCTTTGTAAGGCCAATCGGATTCCAGAGACAACGTCTTCAACGCATCCATCGTGCAATTGGCCAAATCATCCGCTATGACATTGAAATGCCTCCGGCGCCACTCAACTGGGCCCCCCCCCCACACAGGTGAGGTGGAGACCACCCTGAGCACATCAAGTTGACCATGTTGTCGCAAGTACGTCGTAACAGCGGCGCGGCGGACGGGTCCAACCAGGGCGCATGTCCGCAAAACTCTGTGCCCCAGATAATCATCACCCCCAGATAATAAAGTTCTGGGATCTGGCAGGAATTATCAACGATTTTCCTGGGGAAAGTGATGTCCGTTAGAAGTTGTGATGATGATGATGATGATGATGATGATGATGATGATGATGATGATGATGATGACGATGATGATGGTGATGATGGTGATCCTGGGCGCTGGTGGGCAAACTGGGCTGGTGAGAATCCCACAGCCCTGCCACACGCTCGCGATTGCGGAAGCTGATATGGTGAGACCACCATGGCCATGCTCAGCGTTTTTGATGCTGCTGCTGGTCAACATGAGGTGATGGCAACTTCGATTCGCAACTTCCCCCTTGGATTATCAAGTTCGGCCTCCGCGCCCCTCTCCACAATTAAATCCTAATCAACCGGGATTAAAAAATTAAAGGGGGAAAAGGGGGATATGGTCTATCATCCGGGGCACAGGGTTCTGATTCCTTGCAAATGCTGGCAGTCCACCACAAACAAAAATCGCCTCGGCGCTTCGCCCCGCCCGAAACCGAGCTCTGGCCCACTCGCGGCGTGGGACTCCGGGATGCCCTCCAAAACATGGCCGCGGGACTTGGGGCGCTTGCCCTCCAACGCCACAGTCGCCTCGACGCGCGGCCTACCCGGTAGGAGCGGCACGTCCCAGCGAGTGCGGACTCCATTGGCAGAGAATTCGACATTCGCCATCCATTCCCCCTCCTGCCCGAACTGGTCCCGGAACCCCCTCCATCCCACCCCAGACGCCAACGCCAATGCGTCTTCCCAGTCGGCGTCACGCCCTGGAGCCGCATGCATGAAGCCTAAGTTTCGACGGGAGCGCCAAGGTATCTGCTGTGCGCCAGACCACCGCTCCCGAGTCCCGAATCTGCGAAACGAGCGAAGATGACTCAACCCAGCTGGGAATGCCTGAGGCTCCTCCCTCCAGGCTTGCCGGACGGTTTCGTACACTATCCGATGGTGAAGTGAACGGCACGCGACGCGCCCAGCCCATGCCTCGATGATCCTCGCCGCGCGCCGGTTGCACGCCGCGCAACCATCGCCGTGCCGCCTGCGAAGGCGCAGTGCCCTCCGCAAGAGTTTCTACTCCCAGTGTTTAGCCGCCATCAACAAAGAAGAAGTTGCGTGCCACGAATTTGACCCACATGCGACTGAAGCTGCGGCCCCGAAGACCAAACCACCCGAAACTTGTCTCTGGCCGCCCCGAGACCCAGGAAATCAGCCAAATGAGCACAAAAGCAAGCTTCACCCTTCTGCTGGCGATGATCGAAATTGCACGTGATCGAACCCAGGCTATCTAGGAGAACGCCTAGCACGTTCCTGTGGTCTACTTGCTTGACTGTCACAATGACATTGCCTGGTGCGTTCAACCCACCGGTGATGTACTGCAGCGAGCTTCCCTTTCATGCAAGCTTGAACGCATAGAAAAGATCTGCCAGATCCTGGCACATAGCCGACATCTGTCGAGAAGACGCGGCCACGATTAACATGTTCTGCACATGCTAAATGTGTAAAGCCGCGGGCCAATGCCAAACATCAAGGGCGACACCTCTGGGCAGGACCAACTTCGAACTAAAGCTTCCATACCTGCTTCAACTATCAAATTCCATGCGTCTGGGGTTTCGTTTCCGCTTTGCTTCCCGCCCCGGGACCAAGAAAACCGAAGTGTGAAACCAGCCGAAAATATAGATAAAGAAGCGGTGAGTCGGCTACATCCCGTAACAAGCAGCAAACATGATCAGCATGAAGGCCCTCTTGGGTCAGCATGTCGCACATCACGTCGTGATCGAGGAAGTCGAAGGCAGTCGCCACGTCCAAATCGGCTAACGATGCAGCAGAATTCCAGCGGTGAGCCAGGAACAGTACTTGACGTAATACGCAGACGATGTCCAAACAATTAAAGCCTGCTTTGAAGCCGTAGTTACAAACATATTGAGATCCATGTAGCGTCGGCCAAATGCAATGGATCAGACTGCTCGCGTACCACCTCCCAAAACAATATATACTGGATATCCACCGCAATTTGTCGTAACGTCTCGCCGGTGGCTCTTTAGGAATACCAGTATAACCGATCTCTTTCCAATCTGCGGGATCTTCGGAATCGAAATGGGTTTGCCTATGCAAGAACAGACGCCAATCGTGAACTATCAATCATAATGGAAGAGTCTTGTACACCTCGGGGGGGCAACCGTTCATCCGAGGCGCTGTGTTCGGCTTCATCTTGGCGCGACCTTGCAAGACGTCGTAAAACGTGAGCTGGCTCGGAAGTGCACCGTCCAGAATGCAATTCAGGGACGCGCTGGACATAGATGCCCACCTCGTATGCTGGGTAGTTGAATCGTTCGCCAAGTCATGAAAACGTTGCTTTCCAAAGAGCTCAGCTTCCTTCAACCACTCCGACCCGTCGTGCGTGAGTTCCCCACCGACCTCCATTTGCATAGGAAGGCAACGTCGGTGAGGGGCAATGCCCACCCGCGCTAACTTCTTTCTGTTCCTCCCTTTCCTGCGTTGGCGTATAACTCGTTGAAGGTTCCGTACTGCGGACCTGTATTCCGACAGTGGTGCAGACGCTCCTTGAGCTCGAACTTCCTTTACTCTCGCGTTTAAAGAGCGACACGAAGACGCCTGCCGTGACGACGTCGTCGTAAACCTGGCATTGGAAGCCACCTCCTGCACGGACGCGTGGAGCTCCCCCAGGCCGAGGCCGAAGAAGCGGACGCACTTGTCCTTGAAAGACTCCTCGTCTATCTCCGGCGACGGCGTCCAGCCTTTCAAGGATCTCCTCGGTATCTCAGCGCGCTCCAGCGGTACGAGCCCATGGAGTTTGGACAACAATGGCCTTATTGTCAGGGCCGGGTAACAGCTTGCTGAAAAACGACCGTGGGGGTGCACATCCCAGAGACCCTGGGCGTGACGGCCATGAAATCGATCTGGGTGCGCTTCCGGAGTGCTCTCCGGGTACCACATGTCGATCCTTTGGTACAGAAGTTGAGGCAGACGCGCTCTCGAACGTGTTCAGGGCACGCCCGTCGAGCGCCTCAAACCATGCAAGTATGACCTTTGCCATTTGTGTCGTGTGGGATCTGGCGCCTGGGAGACACAATTTCCAGTAACCCCGTCATGATTCGCAGGTAGGCTAGACTTGGCATCAACCGACAGAAGAATGTCAAAGGCTATTGTTGGGTAGGCTCCTCGGGTGTGTTGGACAAAACTGGTGCACTCTTGAATTACAGACTGGCCGAAACCACCCTCTACCGACTGATCTACAATATGATCCTCCTCCTCCTCCTTCTCCTCCTCCCCCAGAAACTTCGGAAACCTCCGAACACCTCCAGAAACCTTCGTCAACGTTTGGGGGGCCTGCGGAAACCTCAGAAACGTACGATCATCGATTCCGCACCTTTTCCTCACCCATCCGTCCTCCGCTTCCTCCTTCGCCCTCCTCCTCCTCCTTCTCCTCCCTCCCCCTCCTCCTCTTCGCTTCTGGGCGACCAGCACAATCCACCAACACAGTCTCCCTGCTCCACCTCCTCATCCTCCTCCTCATCCTCCTGCTCCTCCTCCTCCTCCTCCTCCTCCTCCTCCTCCTCTTCCTCGTTCTTGCCCGCCTCCTCCTCGTCCTCCTTGTCTGCCTCCTCCTCGTCCTTGCCTTCCTCCTTCTCCAATCCTTCCTTCCTCGCCCTCGGAACACTCGGAAAGAAGAGATCTCCACAATAGCATGCTAATGCGAGACAGGCGGGAAGACTACCCAACCCTCCATTGGGCAGCACAAGCAACCGAGAACTGCTGCTCTGCGGATGAATCTCCAGCCCCTCCTTCCGCGCCCCCTCTGCGGCGCTGAGGGCTCACGCGGTCTTCCTTGCTCCTGTTCGGGCCCGCTGCTTGGTGACCCTGGGCCCTGCGCCTGCTGGAATCTGGGACCTCGGTGCTCCTGCCCTCTCCCTGCCCCCACCCCCTGGGGTTCAGGGCTGCAGTTACGGTGTTCCACTCCACCCCCAAAGGTCTCCACGTCGTGGAGCCTTCCTGGACTGCCGATCCGAATCCGACCCGATCCCTTCGCGCCCAGCCCTCCCCTGCCCGATCCGATCCTTTCGCGCCCCACCCCTCCCCTTTCGCGCCCCCCCCCCCTCCCCTGCCCGATCCGATCCTTCCGCGCCCCAATCCTTCGCTCCCGCCCGGGGCGCTGGTTGCCGTTCTTGCAGGCGTTCGGGCCGCTCTGCGCCGCGAAGGCGCAGGGCCGGCACTCCCCCAGGGCGTGGAGGGTGGACCCCTTGCTCGGCAGGCCGTCGAGCCCGAGCGGAGGCTCCTGACGCAGGGGCGGCGGATGGAGGATGCAGGATGGAGGATGCAGGATGGAGGATGCAGGATGGAGGAGGAAGAGTAGGAGAAGGAGGAGGGGGAGGAGGAGAATGGGGGAGGAGGAGAGGGAGGAGGAGGAGGAGGAGGAGGAGGAGAGGAGGAGGAGGAGGAGGAGGAGGAGGAGGACGACGAGAAGGATGATGATGATGATGATAATGATGATGATGAGGAGGAGGAGGAGGAGGAGGAGGAGCAGGCAGGAGGAGCAGGAGAAGCAGGAGGAGCAGGAGGGGGATTAGGAGGAGGAGGAGGAGGAGGAGGAGGAGGAGCAGGCAGGAGGAGGAGGAGGAGGAGGAGGAGGAGGAGGAGGAGGGAGAGGGAGGAGGACGACGAGGGAGGAGCGCCTCCTCCTTTCGCCCTCATCGTCCAAGTCCCCCCTCCTGTTTCTCCTGGCTCCTCCCCTCCACCCTCTCACTCTCTGCAGCTCCTACTCTTCAACATCCCTCCTCGTCGTCGTCGTTCTCCTCCTCCTCCACCTCCTCCTCCTCGCCCGTTCTTCCTCCTCCCCTGTTGCGCGCGCGCTCACGCGCTCGGACTGATGATAATGAGAAGGAGGATGGCCCGAGTGAGCTCAGGATGCATCACCCATGCTGCGATACAACCGCCCGTACCAAGCCCCTGGCTGATAGGCCAGACAAGCATCTCTTTTCACTGCATGAGGCGCCTCCCTACAAGGCGAGCGCCCCATGAGCCTGCAGCTTTCTAACCATAAAGGATACGAACAAGGAAGACCATACACATGAGGCATGCGTCGAACGAAAACCCCGTCTTGAGATAGAACCGCCTTTCATCCGTGTAGCTTTTGCGCGGTTCTACACTTGTGACATGAACGGTTGAAGACGTCCTGAGCGAGAGCCACATTTTGAAAAGGACAGCGACGAAGAAGAATTCTGCAGAAAAGGTTGAAGAACGAGAAGAAACATGGTGAGGGAAACATGTCTTTCCGCGTGAAAATGCGAAGCGGCCCGAGAAGGATGGGATAAGGAGAGGTGCAGGACCGAACAAACACAGCATGCGGCAAGTGCGGTCCAATTTCCCGACGCCCCCCCCCCCGCCTTGCGGACTCAGTAAATATGCCGCCATTGCCGCCAATCCAAATCACACACATATCAGAAAACGGGACAACGATCAATGAACGTTTTGTTGTTTTGGTGGCGTCGGGGGAGGAGGAGGAAGAGGAGGTGGAGGAGGAGGAGGTAGGTTTTAAAACGAGCAGTGAATGCTTTGTCGTTTTAGTTTTTTTCGTTGTTGTGTGGGGACGGGGGGGATTGGAAAAAATACGTTTATACACATATACAAGTACGGGGGTCATTCTAAGACGCAGCTCCGTAGACATATATATATATATATATGTATAGGTTTTACTTTTATATATCGATGTACACGTACATAGTTGCACGAACAAGCCTGCATACGCTTCTACATATATAGTTTAGCTAGCTCGGGCCCCGACCCGTGTGGTTCTAACAATCTAGGTTGCACAAACTTTCTAGCAACTTATGTTGCGCAGTATATGTGGGACAATATATGTTGTGCATTTGATTTTTACCCATGATCTGACACATCCCATGCTCTTGCAAACATCCCACCCACCCACCTGCAACTTGGTTTGCAAAACCTCTTAAGACCGACTACGACGACACCGACGACAACGACTACGACGACACCGACGACGTCTCCGACGATTTCGACGATGACGACAACGACGACGACAACAACGACGACAGCGACGACGACGACGACGCCGACGCCGACGATGACGCCGACGACGACAACGACGACGCCGACGACGACGACGTCGACGACGACGACGGCGGCGGCGACGACGACGCCGACGTCGACGACGACGAAGACGACGACGACGCCGACGCCGACGCCGACGACGACGTCGCCAACAACGACGACGACGACGACGAGGGGAGAGGGATGACGACGACGGCGACAACGACGACAACGACGAGGGAGGAGGGAGGACGGCGACGACGCGAACGACGAAGAAGGAGGAAGGACGGCGACGCCGACGACGACAACGACGAGGGAGGAGAAGACGACGACGACGACGACGACGACGACGACGACGAAGAGGGACGACGACGACGACGACGGACGACGACGACGACGAGACGACGACGACGACGACGACGACGAACACGAGGAAAGACAGAGGACGACGTAGGCGACGACGACGACGACGCGGGAGGAGGGAGGACGGCGACGACGACAACGACGACGCAAAAACGCACGCGCACGCTCTGGTTGAAAATCCGGGTTGCGAAACCAAGTGTTTTTGTATGCCTTTGGGCACACGATTTTGAAATCCTTCAGACACCGATGGGTTTTGAAGGATTTCGGCATGCGCGCGCGACGACGCGTGCGTCTGCACTTCGTCCCACTTTTTGCAGATGATTCTCGCGACGGCACACGCGCAAGGGCGTTCGACAGGTTTCGACATGCGCGCGCGCGAAGCCCGTTTGGTAGCAGGTTGTGAACATCTTGAACAAAAAACTATGGTTCTCGTAAGATCTTGCAAGGGCTCGCGCGTAAGCTTTTTTAGCAAATCAGTGTCACGAAACCCTGTGTTTTGTATGGTGTGTTGGAAACTCGATTGCGAACCGATGGTTTTTGAAGGATTTCGGCATGCGCGCGCGACGACGCGCGCGTGCGGATCTTGCTTTTGCGGGGTGCTGTGCCGCAAGCTGCCTTCGGCCAGCAGCCGAGTGAGCCGAGCCCAATGATGATCGCGGCGATGTCTGCACTCGCGCTGCCGAGGTCGGCGAGGGCTGCGAGGGCGCAGACTGCGCGAGGTAGCCGAGAGCAGAGATGGCGCAGGGTAGGGTCGAATGTGACGCCCCCGACGACCCAGACGCTGGGCACCTTTACTCGACCCCGCGCAGGGCGTAGAAGTCAACGCTCCATCAACCTCAGAATGGAACCATCACCCGCACCTCCGAACAGAAAGCACGCCGTTATCGTATGACCATGGCTGGTCATACGCGCCATGATGAAGACAAGGTTGAAGAGAAGCAAGGACTGGACGGCGGAATGGATGCACCCACGGCTCGGTGCACTAATCATTGAAGCGCATGGTCCTCAATCTCGAACAGGTTGTTCACCAGTACGCGATGCTGAACAAAGCCATGCTAGACGTCTAGGCAGATCCTGAAACCTCGGCTCACAAACCAGTGAAGCACATGACGTCACTTTCGAACATCGTGTCCACCAGCACGCGGTGCGGAACATAACCAAGCTGGACGTCTAAGCAGGTCATCTGGTATGCATCGGCGAGGGGCCCGTTCGAGTGGTGCGCCATCAGCATGTTGGAGGTGCAACAAGAGAGATAGAGAGAGAGAGAGAGAGAAAGAGAGTGAGAGGTCGCTTGCGCTCAGGAGGAGGAGGAGCAGGAGGAGGATGATGATGAGGAGGAGGAGGAGAAGAGAGGAGGCAGAGATGCGGGACAAGAGTATGATGAGGAACCCGACGTGCAGGAGGAAGCGGAGGAGGGCGACGAGAGGGTGAAACACGTAAAGGGAGGAAGAAGATGAGGAGGAGAAGGAGGAACAGGCGGATGATATTAAAGAGGCGGAGAAGGGATGCGGGAGGACCCCGGGAGAAAGTCAGGGCCCCCCTCTTCCCTCTTGTCTTCCCCCCTCCTCTCCCGTCCCCACGCACGGGCTGATCCTAGACAACCAACCTCCTGCTCCTCTTCCTCCTCCTCCTCCTCCTTCTCCCAGTCTCCCGCTCGTGAGCCTCCCAGACAACCGAAAAAACTCAACACATCCGAATTCAGCTGAGAACGCCAGTGTCGTCGTCGTCGTCGCCGTCGCCGTCGCCGTCGCCGTCGCCGTCGCCGCCGCCGCCGCCGCCGTTGTCGTCGCCGCCGCCGCCGCCGTCCGTCGTCGATTGTCGTCGTTGTCCGTCGTCGTCGATTGTCGTCGTCGTCGTCGTCGGTTGTCGCCGTCGGTTGTCCGTCGTCGATTGTCGTCGTCGTAGTTGTCCTTCGGCGATTGTCGTCGTCGATTGTCCGTCGTCGGTTGTCGTCGTCGATTGTCGTCGTCGTCGGTCGTCGCCGTATCGTCTCCTCCTGCCGCAGCTTCTCCTCCAGCTGCGGGGGGGCGGCGGTGGGCTGCACGGGCGGCCGCACCTCGACATGGCGCAGGACGGGGCTGGAGCAAGGGAGGGGGGGTGGAGGAGCGAGGCGCGAGGGAAGTGCAGGTTGGGCCTCGGTCGGGCATGTCCTCCTGCAGGCGGACTTGTGAAGAACAGTGAAGCAAAACATAGCCGGCAAATAATCAGACACAAGCAAACATGATCGAAAGATCGTCACCCGGTATCTGTTACTCTTCTTGAATACTCCTCCCGTAGAGGGACATGCCCGACTTAAAGCCAGTTGCCCCTGGGTCTTCACACGTCGTCGGGCGCAGGCTGTTCCAGGAGTGACCAGGCGCGCCGCAGCCCTGCGAGGCCTGCGAGGGTCCCTGCGTGATCGAGTGCTTTGTCTGTTGCTTTGTGCTGTCCCCCCCCCTGCTGGGGAACGGTCCTCCTCCTTCTCCTCCTCCTCCTTCTCGTCCTTCTTCTCCCTTCTCCTTCTCCTCCTTCTTATCCTCCTTCTTCTCCTTCACCTCCGTCTCCTCCTCCTCCAACTTCTCCTCCTCCTCCTCCTCCTCCTCCTCCTCCTCCTCCTCATCATGCTCCTCCTCCTCATCCCAATCAAAACCCCCCTGCGGAGCAGGAGGCCCGTTCCCATGGGGCTTGAGCCGCTCCAGTTTCCTCCCTGCTGGGGAAAGGTAACAAAACGAGGCCAGGACAAGGACAACATCGGACCGGGACAGCGCGAGACCTTCTGGGATCCAAGCGGTTCTGAAGGGTGTGTCGGGGGCCGCGGCCTTCTCAAAGCGTTCCAGAACGCTCGGAGAGCGTTCAGGAATGATGTATCCCTAACCCCGCCCGAGATGAGCCCCTCTGTTTTGAAAGGAACAAGAAGCGGAAAATAGCTTGGGGGAAACGGGTCCTGAGGGAAACGGATCCTGGACCCCGGAGCCTTCTCCCAAGACGAGATCTTCATCCTGCAATCACGGTGCCCGTGGAGGGCCCTGACAACCCGAAAACAACAAACAATCTCAGGACCCGCTTCCCCGAGGACCCGCTTCCCCCATGGCGACAAGGAGGGAATGACGAGCAAGACCGCTGGAGGCTGCGACAAAGCCAAATCACCATACGGTGCACTTTCCGTCGCAGATATGCAGCCATCGTGCTGCCATGCGGAACATTAAACAAGGAACGAAGGAGCTTTCCTGGCCACGGCGAGCCTCGGCTGCGAATCGGTTCCGCGACTTAGAGCTAGGGAACGGTCAAGAACAGGACCCCTCCTGAGCCCAACGCAATCCTTCTTTCAGCGCCCTGGCTGTCCTCCTGAAGAAATCATGCAGTTGTCTCCTGTCAATGTGGCGGGCACCCGCTGGAAGATTGAGGCTCCCATGGGCTTGCATGGCGCCATCACTGTGTTTGCCGACGTGCTCACTCCTCTGCGGCCTCACCAAGACCCGACCGCGCAATGTTACAAATTGGATCTTGAACAAAGGGATCGTCCTCCACACGTGCAGCTGCTTGGAACCCTAAGAGCATCGGGCGCGGTGCCAGAGCTGCAGCACGTCCCGCCACTCCGTGCAGCTGACGGACACGTCAATAGTTTTCCCATAACAATGCGTGCACTTAGGGATTCTTAATTAGTTTTTACGGAACTGGGCCCAGAGGCCGCTCTGGCCGCCATGTGGCCGCCGTCGCTGCTTCGTCGCCGCCCGTCGCCTGGGCCTAGGGGTCACTCTGGCCGCCATATGGCCGCCGTTCCCGCCTCGCCACCGCCCGTCGCCACCCGTCGCCTGGGCCTGCGGGCAGCTTTGGCCGCCATGTGGACCCCGCCGCCGCCTCGTCGCAACCCGTTTCGCGTTGCTCTTCACTGTTTTGCGTTGCTTTGAAATGCTTTGCTTTATACAGGTGCTCTGTTCTAGAAAAAGAGAGTAAGCCCTACAGTCCTGGAATTATCGGCTCTTCGGGGATGCTAGCAATTAAATATGATCCCGCCCCGTCGTTCATTTGAAAAATGAAGTCCTACCATGCCAGGCAGGCCTTTTTTTTCGACCAACCTCTCAGCCTTCTACAACAGAACTATGTGCGCGAATTCGTTGATTTAACATCACCCGTTGCACAAGTCCTTGGCACAACCAGGGACAATGTTTACGCGCGCTTGTCGTCGCAAGGCTGAGGTTCCCGAAACAATAAAATAACCATTGGTTGCTCACCACGATGACCCATGTTAAAAACTCTGCGCGCACGTTCTTGCGAGTCCTTTGGGCAACCGTGTTGATTTCACAACTTCCACCAAATTCGACCAAGTGCGCCTCTCGTGCGCGCATGTCACCATGCTTCGAAAGGGGCTACGATCCCTGTGAAATCACACACTGGTGCACTCGCAACCGTCGGTCGCGCGCGTCAGCGGCGCGCATGTCGCAAGTCTTCCAACACCTTCACCATCGACGCGTGGACGTCACCACCGTCGTTGGTATGACCAGAACCGGCGCCGTCATTGGCCTTGCCGTTCTCATCGTCACCATCGTCACCAGCATCGCTGTTATCACCATCATGTCTGCGTTTGTCGACTTCACCATGATACCGCGCCCGCCCGAATTACCGACACGCACTGACATGCCCGCGCGTCAGCGCGGCCCGCGAGACGCGCTGGGCAATCCCCCACGGTCAGCGCCACCGCGGCAACGTCGGTCGCGCCAGACTGGCTGGCCGCTCTGCGCGCGATCCTGCGCGCGGTAGCGCGGCCGCAGCGATGCGCCAGTCAGCGCTAAGCAGTCATCGCAATCGCCGCCACACGTATTGTACAAACCAAGTTGAGGGTGGGTGGGTGGGTGGGCGGGCGGGCGGGTAGGATGATGTCGCGAGCAGTGGAGTTGACAACTCACTAGCGAGCACTAGTTTACTGCAGTGCACAGATTGCACCACTTAGCCTGCACCACATAGATTGCACTTCCTTGCTTGCGCCATCCCGTACGCTAGAAAACACTGCCTGGGGCCCACGCTTGATAACAAAATTCCATGAACCAGTATCATGCGAGGGTTTAGTTTTGACTAGAACCGTCGCGCGCTTCGAGCGCTCTCGAATTATATTTGCCATGTAACTTAACGTATAACTCACCAGAAAGGCCGTGTCCGGATGATCGGGTCCTTGGCTTGGAAGCCAGCGCGTGAACCGCTAAACTCGCACTGAGAATCTGTATTCGGACTAGAATGAATGTACGCCTGCAGGCGAAACAGGTTTTACATGGGGTGTATTCTAAGTTTTGCCCAGCTGCCGTTTCCTGCCTTAGCTCCCCCCGCCAGCCAAGACCAACGGGGGGACAGGGTTCGGGTCTGTGCTGAATCAGGGCGAGGGGCGGGGGAATGAACAGCGAGGGAGAAATAGATCCGGAAGAGATCCAGAAGAGGAGGAGGAGAAGCAAGAAGAGGATGCAGTTCAGGAGGCAGAGGGGCAAAGTTTACAGGTGGGGGCTTGTGACGGAATTTCTGGAGAGCCTCTTGCAGGCAGGGGTCCTGCCTCAGCGCAATCTTGGCAGCCTCGTGTGGGCCTCTTGGTAGCTTCTTGAGGTCTCATGAAGCCCTCGTGGGAACATATTTGAAAGGGCCCAGGGACACAAACAAAGACACAAATCCCATGACCCCCAATATTTTCTCATATATTTTCTTCATTTTCATGTCCCCCCACACTTCCCACATTTTCCCATGTTTTCCTGGGGATCGACGACTCATTGTGTTAATCTTGGGGTCTGGGGAGCCATCTTGGGGAGAGGACTTATTTACCAGGGCCCTTGGACTTCCTCACCCTGGGCCCCTCTCGGGGCCCTCTTGGGGGCATCTTGGGCCGTTTGTGGGGCCGGCCCGGACGTCGTGAGGATTCCAGGGGCCGTTTTGGGGCTCTCTCGGGGCGCTCTTGGGCCGTCTTGGAGAGGTCTGGGGTGCCCGTCGGGCCGTATGTTTTCGGTCTTCTCGCCCTGTTCCCAGACCAATCGCCCGCGTGCTGCGCGCACGCTCCAGCTCTACTTGATCACCGCTCGCCTTGGCGTTTGGACTCACTGTGCAGTGGAGGCCAGTCACCAAGAAATCTTCCACAAGAAACCCAACCCTGAGACGTCCATTGAACTTTGGTGTGGGAACGTCAAGCTTCCCGTAGCAAAACCATGTGAACACAAGAAACCCAGGGCACCCTGGAGGCAAGTAGGGTGTTTCTTGGCTTCTTGGCATGGGTCTCCGATATATGTTCCGAGTCTTGATGCAGTGACTTGCGCCATTGGCTGTCTCGGGGATCTTCGGGGCACCTCTGGGCCGCACGCTGGTCCAGGGCGGGGTGGGGAGGCAATTATGCCGTCCGGGCGGTCGCCGGGACGCATGCTATAGGGGCCGCCTTCGAGGTATCTTGGGGCCGCTCGGGGCTGTCCTGGGACTTGGGGCCGTCATGTGGGCCTCTTGGCCCATCTTCTCTGTGTTCGCGGCCAACTGATCACTCGCTGCACGGTCTACCAACGCACCCGCGAAGCAGAACAGATGAAACGCGGCAGCGCGGCGGGCATGCTCTACGGCCAGGCCTGCTTGGCGGGCGAGGTCCACAGAAATTCGTCCCTCGGCTCTGCCCCCGATGCGCTGAGGACCTCGGCTGGCGATGCGGATAAAGCAGGAGCGATGCAAGAGTGGTGATGGGCCTAGCGCTACAAATCAGTGACCTTGTGCCGGGCTGATCCTGCGTCGCGGCCGACCTTGCTGCGGCGCGAATCGCGCCACCGCTTGAAATCCGCGCTGCTCATCGACTCGCCATGAATCTTGAACTCGACGCCGTCCCCCTGCAACGCTTCGGCCATCGCGCCCGCGGCGGCCCGCGCAGCGTACTTCACACCCTTCTTCAGGACCCACCAGAAGGGCGAGAAGATCCCCGTGGAATCTCACCAGCCCTTTGGGCGACAGGTGGTCTAACAAGGGGTCTCTTTCCTCTTCCACAAACCCTCTTCCCTTCGTGGAGGGGGACCCTCCCCGTTCCCCTCCCTGAGGTTTTTTGGGAGGGGGTCGCGATGTGTCGGCAGCTCCTTT